CTATCTCAAAAAACCCTTCACAAAAAAGTGCTGGTGGGGTGGCTCAAAGTGAAGGCCCTGAGTTCAAGTCCCAGTACTAAGGAAAAAATAAAAAACCTTTTGGGTTAGCAGAGTGGCTCAAGTGGTAGAACACCTACCTAGCAAGCACAAGGTCCTGAGTTCAAACCTCAGAACCACTATAAAAAAAAAAAAGCTGAATCAACTTAATTTCTTGGTAAAGAAAGAAATGAGAAAATGGTTTTTTTTTAATCTTTTTTTATTTTATTTTATTCATATGTGCAGAAAATGTGTTTCTAAGTCAACCTTAGAAAACACTCAGTGTGGTGGTACATGTCTGTAATTCTAGCACTTAGGAGGCTGAGACAGGAGGATCAGAAAAGTTGAGGCCAACCTGAGCTACATATCGAGCCCCTGCCTCAAGCTCCCACCAGGTTTAGGCACTTCCTGGTGCTATCATGAACCCTAATAACTTTGTGTTGAAGGAAAGGACGTCACAAAGAACATGTTCACATTCAGAGGGAAGCCAGAGGCTTTGTGAAGTGAGATCATCATCCTTACTGCAGACTCCTAAACCAGGCCGTCTTGTACGGACAGAAACATAGATGTGCTGTCTGGGTTTTGGCATAAACTATAGGCTATAGATGGGTCTTGTAGGCCCCAACCCTAACTCCTGAGTAAAAGCCAGAAAGCCTGCCCTGACTGGACCGAAGCTCTGTGGTCACTGGGGGCTTCTCTGTCCCTTGATCAGGCAGCAGGACCCAGTATCCCAGAGGAAGTACAGGTCATATTTAGAGCAAGAGACCCCAAGCAGAAGGCAGCCTAGTGTCACAGGGAGGGGACTGAAGGCAGCAGGCCTGAGCTCCAGTCCCGGATTCTGGAACTATAGGGAGAGACTTGTGGACCTGTGGCCTGTGGCTCTGCTGCCTGCCTGTGTGCAGTTCTGGAACACTGTGTGGGGTGGTGGATGGAAGGCGCACTGAATTGGGAGTCAGGAGACACGAGTGGACAAACTACTTCTTCCTCATCTGTAAAATGGGATGGGAGAGTGGGTTAAATACTCAGTGCTACCTTCTGGTTCTGGTTTCCCAGGGCCCTTCAGAAAACAGGTTAAGGAAGGAGAATGAGAGAGGGTGCTAAGGGAATAGAATAGAGGGGTGAACTTGTTCAAAGTACACAGTGCAATTATCACGTATGGAATTATCACAATAACCCTCCCCTTGGGCTATTAATGTAGGCTAACAATCAACCAGTAAAAAGGAAACAGGTGAAGGGGTTTGCTGTAGGGTCACGAAGACCACGGCCAAGAGACTTCTCGCTTCGTTCAGCTCACCGGGCCTGCCTCCAGACTCAGACCATGGTTCCCATCATCAACGCCAGCCAGAGGCCCAAGGGTGAGGGAGCCCATGGGAAGTTGTCCACACTGCCCAAGTGTGTGCGTGGTCTGGAAGGGAGGTGGCCCACCCAGCAGGAGGCCTCACATGGAGGGACGTGGAGGCAGGGGACCTGTGGCTGGGGGAAGAGGGTATTGCTCCCTGATGCCTTTGCAGGAAAGCCCATGTTCTCCCACTTCTCCCCTTTCCCTTCTGGGTTGCCCTTTTGGCACTTTCCCTAACCCTACTCCAAGGGGTTTAGCCCTGTTTCTTTGGAGTATCTGTACTCTGACAGAAACTCCTGAAGATCAAAGAGGCTTTATTCAAGACTTGAGCTTCTGGGCACCGGTGGCTCACACCTGTAATCCTAGCTACTTGGGAGGCTGAAATCAGGACTGCAGTTTGAGGCAGCCTGGGCAAATATTTCTTAACACCCCATCTCCAAAATAACCACAGCAAAATGGACTGGAGGTGTGGCTCAACTGGTACAGTGCCTGCTTTATAAGTGTGAACCCGAGTTCAAATCCCAGTCCCATAAAAAAAAAAAAAAAAAAAGAAAGAAAGAAAGAAAAAAAAAGACTTCAGAGCTCTGGAGAGCACTGTGAAACAGGCAAGTAAAGTAGACAGGCAGAGACCCAAAGGTCCTGGTCCCTCCGGAGACCCCTGGCCCCATCAGCCTGAGCTTTAACTGCACTGGTACTCAGGGACACTGAGGCAGACCACACTGCTTGGAGCCTGGGAATCTTCTCCTGTGAAGGCCTCAGAAAAGTCACATCCCTAAAAATTGCTGGCCAGGCATCAGTGCCTCAAAAATGCACACCTTTCTGGTAACTATGAAGAGCGCCATCTCTGGACAGAAGGACTGCTTCTAGCCAGGGCTCAGGGGCAGCACTGGTCTCCTGTGTGTGTGGTGGGGGGGTGGCTGGGGGTGGGTGGAAACCATACATGCAGCCTCTTCTGCCTCAGGGAAATGGCAGTGAGATGGGGAAGGAACACCGACCCAAGAAACCCCGATGCACAGGTCCTTCAGGAAGAAGAGAATCCTTTTCCCTCCTTCAGAAATGGATAAAGCATGGGACAGGGAGGGAGTCAAGACTAGGCTTTTTTTTTTTTTTTTTTTTTTCAGTATTGGAGCTTGAATTCAAGCTCTCTACCACTGGAGCCAGCCTCAAACTGTGACCTTCCTATCTGCACTGAGTAGCTGGGATTACAGCTGTGAACCACCATGCCCAGCAGGACCCCAGCCTCACCAGGAAGCCCTTGAACTATGGGAAGCTCATCAACTCGAGCTCAGTACAGGGGTGCCTGGCCACAAAGCCTTTCTGCAGAGGCCATGACCAAGAAAAGGCCCCAGTTATCAGAAGTGCTCCTCTTGAATGGCTGCAGGGCTTCCCTCCCTGAACCATCATTTCCTCAGACCCAGGCCCTGCTCAGTGAAGCATGAAGGAGGCCCTCGGGGGAGCCACAGGCACAGGCGCCTTTAAATTATGGAGCAGCCTCCTTAGCCCCTCTCAGAAAGGCCCAGCCGCCCCCACTAAATAATTCAGCACCTCAGGAAGACCCAGTGGTTCCTGACCTGGCTGAAGTAGGTCAGACTTGGCATAGCTGTGGCAGGGGCTCCAGGGCTCACAGCAGCCTCCCCGCCATGCTAGGAGGAGCTGCAAGCTGGGAAGGCCTTGCTTGCATGGCAAGTGCCCAGCTGGCTCAAACACTGCAGCAAGCTGAGGGGGGCAAGGCAAGAAAGGCTCAACCCTTCTTTCTGGCACAAGCTACAGCCACTGACCTCCCTTCAGTCACCTACAGGCCCCTGTGCCTGCCCACCTAGGTGTGTGTCACTCCAAGGCAATGACAGGCAATAGTCACCAGCAGGGAACACCTCAGACCTAAGCTGCCCAGTGCAGTTAGGACACAGATAAGGAATGGTGGGGTCACCTTAGCCACTCCAGCTTTGCTTGGAGCAAAGCTATAATGATCTGCTCACATTCTCACAGGGTCAGGAGGAGGCAGGCTCTGGGGGTCTGGGCACAGGTCCAGATATGCGATGGTGGGGTGTCTGACAGCTCCCGGAAGGGCCAAGTGGGTGATGGCATAGAGAAAACGAAGGTCCCCTCGGGTCTGTCCAGGGTTGGTTCTGGGTGCAGGGGATCTTGGTCCCAACCCTCAGAACTCCAAGAACAAGGAAGTGAATTCACCAAGCATAGGTGGGCTGACATAGGCCCAACTATGTGAACCCTAGACAGGACGTCCCTCCTCTCCTTCCCAAAGAGGGGAGAAGCGACATGGGCTCAAGGTACCACCACCCTCATAGTTATAGGGCAGGTCATTTGCCCCTTCCTCAACTTTTTTTTTTTTTCTGTGGTACTGGGACTTGAACTCAGGGCCTACACCTTGAGCCACTCCACCAACCTTTTTTTGCTTTTTCTTTTTTTTCCACCAGACTTTTTTTAAAATGGGATTTTTTCTAGATAGGGTCTTGTAAACTATTTTGCCCGGGGCTGGCTTCGAACTGCATCCTCCTAATCTTTGCCTCCTGAGTAGCTATAGGCGTGAGACACCAGTGCCCCTCACCATACTCCCAACTCTTGGTACCTCTCTGATCACCTCACACACAGCAGCCTGTGTCCCATGGAGGGTGAAAGCAAAGGTCAGAGAGCAGTTGCTTTGGATCTTTTTTATTTTGCATTTCATATATTATCCAGTTTCACATTCTCACAGGATCAGCAATTACAACAGCCACCGTCTCCCACGTCTGAAATGGCAAGACGGTCACAGCTGTGGCTAAAGGCAAAGCACTAATATACTCACAAAATAAAACGAAATTGCACAATTTCTCCATTTCATTTTCCTGAAACCAATGCCTGACACAAAGGCTTACTGCTGAAGAACGGAAACCCTTTTCTTCTTCATGCCTCAAACTAAACGTTAAACTTATCTGACAGGGCGAACAAGGCCTCTTAATAATTAATAGGACACACACAAAAAATCCTTTATGATGCATAAATATTTTGTTACACAGGGTACAAAAATACTTTTCGCATTCTTGTCGGTTTGGAGGTTGGGGAAAAACCAACAGTGGCAGGGTGGGGTGCACTGTGGAGAGGTCAGCAAGATGGGCAGAGGACTAGGATTTGAAGTGAAAAGGCAAACACTGTGTCTGTGCATCTGCCGGGTGATATTGCTTCAGCCTGGAAGTGTGTGTGTGTGTGCGCGCACGCGTGCGCGTGTGTGAGTGTGGAGAGACTGGGCCCTCAGGGCAAAAGTGGTCACAGGGCTCAGGCCTCCCTGATGCAGGGTGAGTGCAGGGCCGGGTGTGGAGAAAGGGACCAGGCACGATGAGTCCTGAGTGCCAGGACCTGTTGCTATGGTGACACAGTGTGAGAACAAACTGTACACTCACATATACACAAGTTTAAGTGTCTTAAGTCATGCCAGAAAACATGCAAAATAAATGCCTAATAACCTAATAAACGGTTAGGGTGGAAGGTCAGGCCGTATTGGGTCTTAGTGGGGCCTTCTAGCTGGGTCTAGGTGTCCCAGCAAAAAGATCACCAATCTTCCTTGGAGGCCTTTGGGGCAGAGCAGAGCTGAGGAAGGGGAAAGGAGACAAGCGGTCCACCGAGTCAGGCTTAAGATTCACAGTGTCTGCAGGGCAGGAGCAGCCCTACAAGGCCCCAGGGGCAGAAGTGCCAGCCCCTCTCTGGCCCCACCACAGAGTCCCAGAACCAACTCCCTGGTGACAAGACCTGGGAGGGAGAGAGAAGTTGCCATGAGCAGGGGAGCAGAACTGGAGCTAGCCCTGGTCTCGTCCTTGTGAGGAGGCTGTGGGAATGGGGGCAGAAGAGGCCAGACGCCCCAGTGAACAGGCTCCAGGCTGCCCAGCATGGCAAGCTCTAGGGACTCAGGCAGAGGGAGGACCCACAGCCCTGCAGGAAGCCACAGTCTAGGACACATTCTGTCCCAGGCATCTGGGACCAACACTTACTGAAGAACTAACAGAACTGGCGATGCTTCCATCCTTGCTGGGTGGATCAGAGGGGGGGTACCAGCGCACCTGCAAGAGAAGCCAACGTCATGAGCGCCTGTCCTCCCTTAGTGGGAGCCCGGTGAACCCGGCTGACGGTGTCCCTGCTGAGGTGCTGGTTGTTACGGACCAGCTGCCAGAACTTGGGTGAGTTACTCATCTCTGAGCACCAGTTTCTTCCTGACCCACGTCAGAGGCTCCGAGAGGACTGGTGCCAACACTGCCCTCCCTACTTTACTGGGAGAGCAAGAAATTCCTAACATTACCAGGAGAATGGCCTAACACATTTTTCCACTATGCCTTTGCATCTCGGTGTCCTCAATCAGCTGCAGAACAGAAATAGCTGAGGATCAGGGAGGCGCATTAAAAACCAAAGTCGTTGTGGCCTCAGGGATACGACTCCAAGCACTAGCCCCGGCCCTTGTAGGATTCTTCAGAGGAGCCATGGCAGAGATCCGGCTGATGTTTCACCGTTTCTGTTCTAATCCCCATGAATCTACAGACTTGTAACCCACAAGCTGAGCCCTAAAGTAGGGGCAAGGTAGCCTCAGATAACCTCTACCAGGAGCAGGCAGCTACCCAAACCCTGGCACTTACTAGAAGGCCCCCACAAAGACATAGTCTCAAAGCTGGATTCCCCAAGACTGGTCAATAAAATGACATGTGCCCTTCTCTCTGAGTCAGCCATCTACAAGGAGAGCTGTGCTAGCTGTGAGGCCAAGGCCACAGGGAAGGCCCCTGCCCTAGTTACACACAGCACAACATGTCTGCCCAGCCTGACCCAGGGCTGCCTGGGGGGAGGGGGGAGGGCAGATGAGTACACAGGAGGGAAGACTAGGTCTCCTTAGGAAAGGCAGGGATGAGCCACTGTAGACAAAGAGCTAGAAGCTGGGCATCCAGACGACTTCCCTGAAACTGGAACACGCACACCCAGCTGCCTGCAATCCCTGCCTCTTGGGGCTGAGGGATGCTTCCAAGAACTTGCTCTGGACCCCTTCCAATTCTAGGTGCTGTCTTGCTCAGCACAGAATTCTGGCCACCACACCCTCCCCAAAGGGCCATGGGAGTTAGGGGTTAACTACCCTAATGCTTGCATATCTGGTACATAGGAGGACAGGTCCTGGGCCACCTAACCAACACTAGGGTCTCCCCTGGGCTCTGAGAATGTGGTACTGCTGTTACCAGAATATAGATGGCCCAGGGCCACTGTAACCACTTCAGTTGAGCTACACACCACAGGGAAGGAGCCTCCTCTCACCTTTTGAGTTGCCCCACCTTGGAGGCTGGAGGATTCCCCACTGTGCCTCCCTAATACCTAGAAGCAGTTCCTTCCTCTCCTGGTTGACAGCTGCTTGAGAGGAAGTTCTCTCCTGTGCCAGGAGGTACCTCCGGGCTGGTTGCCTGGCTGAACACTAGAATTCATTCCACTTGAGGAGGATACATGAGGAATTAGCAGTGTAGCCACCAGACAGACCTGTGGCTGGGTCCAACTCAGGAACTGTGGAGTGGGCCCTGCCCACAGCCCTTCACCCAGCTGGAGCAGCCCCACAGCAAGGAGTGTCTGGCTGGCAGGGTGCCTAGCAGGGCTGACAGAAGGAGAGCATGGGAGGCCTCAAGAATCCTCTAGCTTGCCCCCTTCCACACTGGGAAGATCCTGTCCCATACTCGCTCCACAGGCACAGTGACTGCTACCTCCCAAGAGCAACTTCCCTGGCCTGATGCAAGTCAGATGGCTCTTTGGGGAAAGGTACAGCTTCCATTTATGGGCTTGGGACAGCTGGGCTGCTGACACAAACAAAATACACTTAGCAGGGCTGCTTTTGCATTTCCCGCAATGTCTGGCATAGACCAGTGGCCTGGGGTCCTCTAGCTGCTCATGGTCCCTTCCTAGATCTCCTCCTGCTCTAGCTCAAAGATCCCCAGGACCCAGGGGACGGGGGCAGCACATTATGAACTCTACAGTGAGTGTCCTCTCAGGCCCTCAAGTTGTCCATGATGTAGTGGGGGCTCCTGAGAGAGAACCCCACAGGCTACAATAATGAGGCTACAGAAGGCCTGCTTCCAAACAACGAGGGAGGGTGCTGCCTTAGTTCCCTCTCAAACTTATGAATGACTGAGAAAATAACCAAGAAGTGGGCACGCAGAGACTCTACATGAGGAGAAACAGGAGCACCCAGTAAGTCTGGACACTTCACTCATCTGAACAGCAACAAAAATAATGCTTAAACCAGCCTGGCAAGTCTGCACTTTGACCTTGTAATAAGTCTGGGAACTTGTCACAAGGAAGACCCATCAAGACAGGTGCCTAGAGATGTGTGAGCCAGGTTACCCACCTCAGCAGGTCCTGTCACCAGCAAACAACTGTCAGAAACCGATTTGCCACTTATGGGGAGCTGGGCAAGGCACCCCAAGTGCAGATCCAAATTGATCTGCACAGAAAACTGTCCTAACACTTAAGTTAAAAAGACACAAATTGTGTGAGTTGTTATAAAGGGCTCACATCTATGGACTGACTTACACACCCGGTCCCAACTACCTTCTAAATCTGAGGAGTACAGTGGTAGTTTTCTTGGGGAGTAGAGTAAACCAAAGGAGAAGAAAAGCCTTGCCTGTTTTTCTCCCTAAGTGCAGTCCTGTAATGGCCAATGCTTACAGGGAACTTGCCCTGTGTCACAGGCTGTTCTGAGCAGGTTTTACACAACTTCATTTAATCCTCACAAAAGCCCTGTGAAGGTGATGCTAGCATCCTCGCCTGTCCATGACACAGACAGAAGCATTTATGTAACTGGAAAGCCATTGGTAAGCAGCTGAGTCACCTCAAGAGGAAGAGGGAACCCACAGTGAACGACCCACACGTCCTCGCAAGTCCCACAGGGGAGGGGAGACACGAAAGACAGAGAATCCCTTCTCTTTTAGGCCACTATCTTTATTGCCAAACCCCACAGCACCTCACCTTGCACTGCCCACACCTGCTTTCATCTTAAGAGGATTAGAAGGCTGAAAGAGATGACCCTGTACCGACAGAGTGGGGCAGAACCATCTCCAAGGCCTCTCCTACAGGTCTGGTCTCTGTGGCCAGGAACACTCAGCTGGGGTGCATGATGGAATAGACAAAGCCGGTGTTACTTCTCATCCTCTCTTGTCTGTTAGCTGCTACCTTTTCTCCATGTCACCTCCTTGCCCTGTTTTCTACTGACTGGTGCTCTAGGTTCAGAACAATCCACTTAGGATCCAGTGTTCACATCCTTTAGATGCTTTTGGCATCTGTCTCTGGGACAGTGATGTCAAGGGGAAGGAGGCTGCTCTTGGAAGGAAAAACTAAAATGTCACTTGGTTGGGCGCTGGTGGCTCACACCTGTAATCCTAGCTACTCAGGAGGCAGAAATCAGGAGGATCGGGGTTCAAAGACAGCCCGGGGAAATAGTTCTGGGAGACCCTATCTCGAAAAGAAAAAAAAAAAAAAAAACCCACAAAAAAGGGCTGGTGGAGTGGCTCAAGGTGTAGGCCCTGAGTTCAAACCCCAGTACAAAAAGGGAAAGATAAATGGAAAGGGAAAGAAAAGAAAGGAAAGAAAGGGAAGGGAAGGGGAAGGGAAAGGCAAGGGAAGGGGAAGAGAAGGAAAGGAAAAGGAAAAGGAAGAAAATAAATGTCACTACCTGAAAAATGTTTTCATGCCTATTACTGCCATTTGGTCCTCACTACCCTTCTTACTGTTGAGGAAATAGATGCATAGCCAGTCTGGAGAGTCATGACAGAATTAATGAATCTGCCTCAGAAAATGCCAATATCCTTTGGGGTATCCTCTATCCCCCTCTAGGGAGGCCAGAAGGCACTCTAAGGCCAGACAATAGTGACATTATACCCACCCCCAATCGCCAGAGCTCCTACACCTCCTGTATGTTAATAAGCTAACAATAACCCCCCAAGTAGTCACTATTTTCACCATTTAATAAAGAAATGGAGGGTTAATGGAGTGACTCAAGTGAGTACTTGCCTAGCAAAGTGCTGCCAAACAAAGAAACAAACAAAAACCAACAAAACAAAGAAATGGAGATGAGAGGGTAAACAACTTGCCCAGGGTCACAAGGGGTTGAGAGATAGAGCCAGGATCTGGGCTAGAGTTGGAGCCAGAGAGCATGGGCAGAAACTGGGAAGGGTACAAAAGGAGGTTGTTATAGAGCACAAGGAGGCGTGGCATCTTGTCACTCCCAGGGGTGGGCAGGAGCCTCCCTTGGTTCATTTGACAAACCCACTGTTCCTAACTCCCAAGCTTGGCATGCCTCTGCATCTCTTCACCTGATCCAGTCCAGCCTCTCATTTTACAGATGAGGACACAGAGATGCAGAGGTGAAGATTACATAGCTAGCTGGTAGGAACCAGGGTCAGAGGCTGGGATCCCAGCCCAGAGTCTCTCAGGGGCCTTGCAGCTAAAGCTGCTCCTGGGCTAGGTGCATGGCTCAAGTGGTAGAGCACCAGCCCTGAATTCAAACCCCTGTACTGTAAAAAGCAAACAAAAACCCACCCTATTTGGCCCACAGCCCTTGGACCTCCCCAGTTCAGACAAATAGACAGGCTTCCCTGTTCTGCTCCTGTCACAGAACCTGGTTTGCAGTAAATACCAAACCTTCCCTTCTACCTACTTACCTTTGGATGAATTTTCCAGCTGTCAGTGGTGCTCAGTTGGGGACAGTACCAAGTTTAACAACAATTCTGCTCACAACAATCAAAAGTTGCCATAGCCAGGGAGAACTCCCTGCTGGATAACAGTCTTCTAAGACAGGGGCCCCTGAACCTGACGTCTCACCTTGGAACTAAGTGAACTTTGATATCACTAAGCCCCTTAAAGGGTTCTCCAAAGAACTCCCTGTTCCTCCCACCCGTAGCTTCTGGCTTCCTGTGAGCTCCCCCTTCATGGCTTCTCCTTTCTTTCCTGGTTTCCTTCTACTGCCTAGGCCAGGGCCAGGCAGCCAACCCTCATGTAAACTCACACACTCCCTGTCAGACCCCCAAAACCCTAACAGCAAGAATATGCAGATCCCTCTTGTGCTCCCATCCATTTGATGCACAGGGCACCCCAACCTGGCTAGCTTGCTCCGCCTCAGCTGAGGCTCAGCACTCAGTCACTTTCCTGACTAGAGGCTGGGGTAGGTTCCATACTGCCCTTCAGCCTCCCTCTTATGGCTGCCTAGCAGCATCCTGTCCACACACCTGGTAGTGTCCTGTCATGGCCACTGTGTGGAGGCTCCCCCAACCCCCATACACCATGGGATAAGATCTTCCCCTGTGGCATATTACAGGGCCTATACTTGAAGTAAAGTCAGACAGATCAAAGCAAAGGCCTATGTGGTATAGCAGTGATCAAGAAAAGATACAGCACTCAACAGAGTCCTCCTGGCCCAGCCTTTGCCCTCCGCAACACTCCGCAGAAACACCCGCTCCCTCTTTCCTGCACCAGGACAGCAGACAGTGTCCAGGCTTCATAAAAACCAGAGTGAATGCTAACAAGCACTCAGGACATCCAGGCACACAAAGCTTTGGCCCTTCACTGTGTTAACATCAAACTCACAACCACCCTGAGGCACAGTGTATTTTTTTCCTCATTTTCCAGATGAGTAAAAATTGAGGCATGGAAACCTTTGAAAGCCTGATGAAATTCATACAGACAGGAAGAGACAGAGGCAGGTTCGAGCCTGACCCGTGGTGCTCAGGGTAAATGAGCTGCAGCGAGGCCTCTGTCCACTAACAGCATTGTACCAAGTACCCTCCATGTGAACTCACTGCTCATGTTCTCTCAGTCAGACCCCAAGCCCTAATGGCAGAGCCTGGGGTTGTCAATCGCCCTGGAAGACAACAGTTCTGCTGGAGTCCAGGGTACAAGAGTGGCCCAGGACCAGGTAAGGAGCGAAGCCTCCCACTCCTCCATCCAAAGTGGCTTACCTGAGCATGTAGGGCAGCGGCAGCAGCAGGGTAAGTGAACGCAGCATGTGAGATGGCTGGGGTCAGCTCTGTGGTGTACAGGGGGTAAGGGGTCCAGGCTTCTGGGGATGCAGGGATCAGAGCAGCCCCCATCAGGTCATCTACAACAGGAGACAAACAGCCTCCATTGTTAGAACACTGGTCTCTCCTCTTCCCTCCCACTACCTCCTTTCAAAAGAGGAGATTCAGCACTCTGGTTGAGCCATATGCTTCCCTGAGGTCAGACATTTCCTTTGCTGAGGATTCCAAGACAAGGGAAGGAAGCCATGGGAAAGTGGCCTAGCATGGTGAGCACCCTGTCTGCTTCTAGAAGCAATTCAGACAGGCCTCAGCCCATCTAAAACACAGAAATCAGATGTCAAGGAAATTGAGCAACCTTGATAGCCCAGTCCCTTGGAGTTCCAGGAAAGGCTGCAGGAGAGGAAGGAGACCAGGAAGTCTCAGAGATGAGTGGCTGTGGATGCAGAAGCCCCTGGAAAGAGCCAGATGGGAGAACTGATCACCTCAATAAAAACCCGAATGACTGGGCACTGGTGGCTCACACTGATCTTAGTTACTTTGGGAGGCTGAGATCAGAAGGATCGCAACTCAAGGCCAGCCCCAGCAAATGGTTGGCAGGACCCCACCGCTGAAATAACCAGAGCAAAACAGACCAGAGGTGTGGCTCAAGCACTAGAGTACCTGCTTTATAGGTGTGAAACCCTGAATTCAAACCCTAGTCCCACCAGAAAAAAAAAAAAAAAAAAGGCAGCGCGGAGTACCACTCACAGGGGTCCCGTGCGATGAAATGTGCTCCCAGGGTGGGGTGGATATTGGTGGGATTTGGTGTCGCCATTAGCTTGCTCTTGGCCATCTTGGTGTTTGCTTTGGCAAACTCTAATCTCAGGGTCTGTGGATTCTCAGGATCAAACCGAATACCCTACATGGGAAGGAAAGGGAGAGAAGGACTTACTCTGTAGGACTGAAACTGTCAGTTCCCATGGATATAGGGATCTGTGCACAGCGGGGCCGTGGCAGAGGGAATGCTGCTCGGACCTCGTGAGTAAAGACGTTTACCACGAATGGGGCAGTCAAGGACTGCCTGGGAAGGACGGGGATTTGTCTCTATGTGGACCCTTTTCTTGGTGTAGAGTAGGGAAGGCTGCAGAGGACAGAGCAGGGACACTCACTGCCTGAAGAGTTCTGTGGGTAAGAGAAAAGCCTGTTCTTTGCCTACTCACGTTCAATGCATTCTTGGCTGCTTCTGCTCCTGCCCGGCTGTCAAAGATCACAAAACCAACAGGCTAGTAGGAAAAAGAGAGAATACCCTTGCATCTCTCCCAGCACAACATCTCCCACCTCCAAAACAAACAAAACAAAAAAAGGGCTGGGGGCGTAGTTTGGTGTTGGAGTGCTTGCCTAGCACGCACGAGGCACCACAAACAAAAAATGGATCAACACTCAGGTGGAAACAGTATTTGCCCTGCCAATGAGAAGACAAAAAAAAAATCTCTTGGCCATACCCTCTTGAGGTACAGCTGGAAGGTTCATACGCCCGAAGTCCAGTCTGCCTCCGGGAGCCACACACAGGAAATGAATGACGCCCACAAGAGCTTTGTTCACAGTAGTAAGCATCGCCCTTTCAGCAGAAGTCTTTTTAAATGCATGCAAATGGTGTTCAACACTACTTCATCTTGCCAAAGATCAGTTCAGACCCCAAATGGCCCCCTAAGGCTCTGGACCCAGGTCTCCCACACCGTTCAGCTACCATCTCTACTGTTCTCAGCCATGGGAGCCAAGTAGGGCTTCCTTGAGTTCCCAGAGCCACAGAGAGAGGGCCAGGAGCTGACTGGGCCCAGCAGGACCCGTGATGACTGCTCTCTTGTCAGCCCAGGAAAGAAACGGGAGAGAGCCCAGGGCAGACAGCAAGTCTTTGTGCTACATGCTGACATTAGGGAAAGGTAACAAGACTCAGTTCCATGCTCAAGAAAACCTAAGAGAGAAATTACCTGTCTGGAGGTGAGCTTGATCAGGGATCCTTCATATCCCTGTAGAGAGAGGTGGCCTTTAGAGAGGAAGGTCAGAAGCTAACCCAGCTCTGTCCCTCGAACCAGTCCCATCTTTCCCCAGCATTCCCTGGAATCATCCTCACACCCTTCCCCAGCAAAGAGAACCCACTCCGACTCCTGCTGTCAAGCTGCTGCTGCCCTGGAGTTCTGAATCACATGGTCAGCACGTGGGGTGGGCATCAAGGGGGCACTCATTGCTTCGTGCATAAATCCTGCGTGCTCCACTAACTTGCAATCTGCAAGCATGGGCCTTACCCTTTAAGTTTTCTCATCTGCAAGTGGAAAAGGCTACACAGAATCTCAAAGATTCCTCAGATGCCAAAGTCTATTAAGATTCTTGCTTGCCAGAATAGTCTGAAATGGTTTGAGGCCTTCCCCTGCTCCATCCAGAGAAGCAAGATCCCTGGGAGGGGCTGGGTCCTGACTCACCTTGAATGGCCGGAAGAGCAGGTAAAGTTCTCTGGGTTTAATGTCCACGGGGAGGCCACTGACGAACAGTGTCCGGACCTAGGGACAGAGACCACAGTGGTCAGGGCCAGGTTGGACAGGAATGGTGGCTCTTTCCTCAGGTGAGGAGGAGCTGGAATAATTATAGAGCTGAAGGAGAAATTCAGTATTTCTATGCCTACTGAAGACACTGAAGCAAATTAACACGCATAGTTTCATAACTATGAATTTGTCAAAGCCCTTTCTGTATACTTTCCTTTCTCTGAGGTCATCTTGGAGGTGTCACTCAGTAAGCACCTGCTCAACTGAGTGCCCTTGAGCAGAGTGATGGCCACCAGAGACAAGGCAGAAGAGCCTTGATTGCAAAGTACATCATCCTTTCTCAGAACAAGGTCCCCTCAAAAAAATCTTCAGAAAGCTATGTGCCTCACCCCCAAAATATGAACATATAAAAATGTTTGTTTTTCCAGAAGAAAAGTCTGTTTGGTCTGGGGAGAAGCAAAGATGTACATGAAACATAAACCCTGCTGGGCGCTAGTGGCTCACACCTGTAATCCTAGTTACTCAGGAGACAGAGATCAGGAGGATTGCAGTTCGAAGTCAGCCCAGGCAAATAGTTTGCCAAGACCCTATCTCAAAAAACCTTAACAAAAAAAGGGCTGGTGGAGTGGCTCAAGGTGAAGGCCCTGAGTTCAAGTCCCAGTGCCATGCAAAAAAAGAAAAGAAACATAAACCCTAAGCTATGCTATGCCCTGGAGCAATGTCAGCAGAGGGCCTGGCGTTTCCTGTCCATCTCCTACAGCTTTCTACACTAGACAGAGGCTCTTTAGTGGCACAGAACATGTTATATTCTTGCCTCTAAGCCAAGGTTCTTGCATGGTGCTGATACTAAAAGTTTACTGAATATGAGAATGGGTAAGAAGTCAGAAATGAACAATTATGCTGTGTTTTGAAGAATAAGTAGGATCTTGCCAGCTTCAAGTGAAGAAGATGATGCTGAAAGCTGTCCTGTCCTCCCTGTGGTTACAAGTTGGTGTCAAAGCCAGTTGACCATCCTGGGGCCCCAGTCACACCTGATCTCCTCAGTCACAGATGAGGTCCTTAACAGGACTGGTAGAACTTCTACTACATGTTTTTGGTTTTTTGAGGCAGGGACTCACTATGTAGCCTAACTCACGATCCTCCTGCCTCAGCTTCCCAAATGCTTACAGGACAGCCCAGTCACACCCAGCTTCTGCTGCTATGTAAGTGCCAATACCTGATGGTAAGCTCACCTGGACACCTGGTACCTTTGACAGGGACAGAAGTTTTCCAGTTTAGATCTATTAAAAAAACGTATCTTGAATCCATGGCTTCCTGAGTAATGAAAACCCCGAATGAGAACTTCCTGCACACTGGACTTTTCTGAGCCATGTCTCATACTGCTAAGCCGAGCACAGTTCTCCTGCACTCCCCACTGTTGGCTTAAGGAAACGCTCACATGCCCCACCCCGTCACACGACCATTTCTGACAGCAGTCAGTTGCTCATAGTGGACCACATTCCCTTTCCAGAGGGACCCAAGAATGCGCTCTATGTTCTAGTGATGGCTTCTGACTCCTGGGCAACAGTATTTTTGAGACACTGGTTTGTATTGGAACAGTGCCAAGCAAAGTTACACCTAGCACACACATCTCAACAGAGTTAGGAATGCTAAAGGAAACAGCCCTAATAGCTGCGTATCACTACCCCCCACCCACATAAGTGACTTCTAGTAAAGGGAAGGACAAACTTCCCTCAAACACATCCAGCAGGGTCCTGGCCACTTAGGATGTCTTTTCCTTGCACACATGCCATTTTCCTAGGCTCTTTCTGTTTCACAGTCCTTGGAGCTCTGTGCCACCCACCCCGTATTGCCCTGCTCAAGTTCTACCCTGTCTCCACAGCACTTGGGGGAACCAGACAGCTGAGGCTCCAGAATGTGCTAAAAGGAGTTCCTGGGCTCTGGAACACAGCCATCCTGTGTCCCAGCCCCTTCTGGTCCCTCTGCCCTCTGATGGGAGAACCTGAATTGTACATGTAAATCCCCAGGCATGAGTGACTCACCCAAGGTCACATAGCTTTTTTTGTGGTACTGGGGTTTGAACTCAGGGCCTCCCCAAAGTGCTCTACCACTTGAGCCACACCCCAGCCCTTTTTATTTTAGTTATTTTTCAAATAGAGGCCTTTGCTTTTGCCTGAAAGGGCCTCGGATGTGATCCTCCTGCTTATGCCTCCTGAATAGCTGGGTTACATGTGAGTACCACCATATCCAGCTCTTTTATTTTGGCAGTACTAGAGTTTGAACTCAGGCCTTTGCACTTGCAAGGCAGGCATTCTACTGTTTGAGCTGTGTCTTCAGCCCCTCAGCTTGTTTTTGAGATGGGATCTTGCAAACTCTTTTTGCCTGGGCTAGCTTCAAACCATGATCCTATCTCTACCTCACAATTAGCTGGGATTACAGGAATGAGCCCACAGCACCCAGCCCATACAGCTTGTTCTTTAAAGACAGCAGAGGGGCTGGCAGAACGGCTCAAGTGGTAGAGCGCCTGCCTAGCAAGCGTTATTCCCAGAGTTCAAATCCCCTGCCCCAGTGCATGGGCTGAAAGTGCAAGCCACCTGCTGTGTGAACTGGAGCAGTTTCTCCCCTCCCATCCCCCACTCCCAGGATGGTTTGGGTTAAGGTCCAGAGCAGCCCCAGAGAAACCTCCAGGCTAAGTTTTAGCCCTTCCTTTGGCTCCTTTCTGGCCAGACCTCCCCAGAGGCCCCTTAAATAGCAAGTTCTCAGCATAAAGTTTCCTGCTTGGGATGGGGTTGAATGCAGGGATCTCTCTCCCATCTCCAGCTCAGATTCTTGTTTCCAGTCTTCCCTCTAGGCTACACAACCTTCCCCCTCTTGTTTCCACCTTTTGGGGTTCTATAGTTCCCAAAGAAAACAAGGCAGTTATGGAGTAGGTGATGGAGCTATCTACCACATCCCAGACCCTGTGTGGGAGCCAAACCTGGAAGGTTAAATCACAGAAGTCTGATATGAACACTCTCCTTGGTTTTTTACCTGATTCTAGCCACTCCAGCAAATGACACCCCCTTGCTATTCTCCTTGCCCAGATTAGGACACTAAGGGCTAGAAAAGCTCGGTAACTTGTTGAGAGCACGCAACTTATTTCACCCAGGTACCCTGACTCTGCCACCTGTCAGAGCTGGGAAAGAAACTCACACATCTGTTTGGTAGCTAGCCCCTTCCCATGACACTTATTTTGAATCACAGTAAAGCCAGAGTGTGGAGGACAGAAAAAGCAAAAAAAAACCTTACCAGCACTCGTGAGGTTGAGACAGGGGGATGGAGAGCTGGAGGCCAACCTGGGCTATGTATCAATGCCCTATCTCAACAAAAAGTAGAAACTGGCTAAGCAGAAGTGAAAGAAGCTTGAGTTCAACAGGCTGGTCAGCACCCTGCCCAGCCCACTTCAGACCCTGCCTAGCCCCCACCTGTTTTGAATTCATCAAGCCCAGTCCCACCCTTCCCAGGTCCCTGGCAAACACCCACACTGTCCACCTCATAGCAGCTGCTATATTGACCTGTAGGCCCACGCCTTCCCCACTCCTTAGCTACAGGATACCTATCCTTCTAGGTCCTCAGTTTCCTCACTCACCTGAAACCCTATGGTGGTCTGTGACACCTTTGCCTTATATTGTTCCCACCAGTTCAGTCTGAGCCTTTACCCTGACTATATAAAGCTTAGAGAAAAGAATTTTTATCTTCCAAAGTGCCTAAAGCAAGGCCTAGGAGAGCTGGAGGCCCCTGGGCTATGTACAATGCCTATCTCAACAAAAGTAGAAACTGGCTAAGAAAGTGAAAGAAGCTTGAGTTCACACAGGCTGGTCAGCACCCTGCCAGCCCACTTCAGACCTGCTAGCCCCACCTGTTTTGAATTCATCAAGCCCAGTCCCACCCTTCCCAGGTCCCTGGCAAACCCACACTGTCTCACTCATAGCAGCTGCTATATTGACCTGTAGGCCCACGCCTTCCCACTCCTTAGCTACAGGATACCTATCCTTCTAGGTCCTCAGTTTCCTCACTCACCTGAAACCCTATGGTGGTCTGTGACACCTTTGCCTTATATTGTTCCCACCACAGTCTGAGCCTTTACCCTGACTATATAAAGCTTAGAGAAAAGAATTTTTATCTTCCAAAGTGCCTAAAGCAAGGCCTAGCCATTCGAGACCTCCCTGTCACATCCAGCTTCTTTGCTCTGCCTGGAGAAGCTGCTTTATCCTTCTGAATCTGTGTCTTTATCTGCCACAACGCAGCCACCGCCCTCCTCCAAGAGGAAGGGCTCACCTTACTCTATGCCTGGAACATAACAACAACCCAAGAAAATGCATTTCTCTTTGGTTCCTATAACCATTTACCTGCACAAGCCCTTGCCTATCAGGTACCATGAGTCGTTTATTTACAAAGGTTGTGTAGGTGAGACTGGATTGGGTCCAGGTGGGTCTGGAGCTGGAAATGTGGGCAGACAGCCTTAGGTGGTACTGGATCTTTAAGTTTCCCTCTGCAGGGGAGGTAATACCCTAGGTTAAAAGCATCAAGGAGGTCACCTAGTTCAAATCCCTCATTTTTCATTTAGGGAAGCTCGGAAGAGGGTGACAACACAAACTGATGGGACATGCAGTTATTCCTCTACGGCGTGACCAATCAGTCCTTTATGTCTTAGCATTTGGCCACCCCCCCCCAGTTTCTGGTGCCAGCCTCAGGATAACTGAGCCTGCCGTCAGGAAGCAGGCCGGTACAGACTAGGATTCAGGCACTAACAACTAGTTGAGGCCATGATGGAGAGGCCAACCAAAGACCTCATGTCCTGCCTATTCCACAAGCTTATTACAAGAGAACACGAAAGTGTTTCAAAGTATTTGAAGAAAGCTTAAGGACTGGTTCACATGATCAGTCCCAGGCAACTCAAAGGCACCAAACTCATTTTCTTGGGCCCATTCCTTCTACACATCACCCCCTCTGCAGAGCATCTGTACAACCCAAGGGAC